TCGGAAGTGCAAAAACCTGGATCGGGACATTTCTAATGCGTACAAAAGCCAAAAACCAGCCGCTACCGCCCACAGCATGTGTTGGAAATGTTGGTGTTTCTTTGAACAGAAGGCCGCAGCAGATTACATCATAGTTTCTCTAATTTGACTTCATATGAAACTTTAATCTTAGATCAACTTTATGGGATCTGAAACTGCAGCGTGTTCTCTGCCGGCTGATAATAAACGGTTCCTAAGCAGCTGCAGATGTTGGAACGTTAGTTTGCTACTGACCTGACTTCCTCCTGACGCAGCCATCACTCCCATCCTGCTGGACGCCCTCACCGACCCGTCCAGGAGGACACAGACGTGTCTCCAGACGCTGCTGGACACCAAGTTCGTCCACTTCATCGACGCCCCCTCCCTGGCCCTCATCATGCCCATCGTCCAGAGGGCCTTCCAGGACCGCTCCACAGACACTCGCAAGATGGCGGCACAGATCATCGGCAACATGTACTCCCTGACCGACCAGAAGGTTTGTGGCTTTCTCTCCGGTTCGCCTTCTCGAGGGTTTCTTCTCGGGATGATCTATGATGTCATTCCGCCCTCAGGACCTGTCGCCCTACCTGCCCAGCGTGATCCCCGGCCTGAAGGCGTCTCTGCTGGACCCGGTGCCTGAGGTGAGTTAAATGAACGCATTGCTGCCGTTGTCTCCGTAGGACGTGTAAACACGGCCTCCTCGCCCCCCCGTCAGGTACGAACCGTCTCCGCCAAGGCTCTGGGCGCCATGGTGAAGGGGATGGGGGAGTCATGCTTCGACGACCTGCTGCCTTGGCTCATGGAGACCCTGGCCTCCGAGCAGAGCTCCGTGGACCGCTCCGGCGCTGCACAAGGTAGGCGGTCCTCCATTGGGCGTGTGCTGCTCCTCTGTGTCTCTGTAAACCATCGTGATGATCCTCTCAGGCCTGGCTGAGGTGATGGCCGGACTGGGCGTGGAGAAGCTGGACAAGCTGATGCCAGACGTGGTTCAGACCGCCAGCAAGGTGGACATCGCTTCTCATGTCAGAGACGGTTACATCATGATGTTCATCTACCTGCCCCTCACCTTTGGGGATAAGTTCACCCCCTACGTGGGCCCCATCATCCCCTGCATCCTGAAGGTGCCGCCTGATCTCTGCTCCGTCATAATTCGGCAGGTTTTTCTCCTCCTTTGTGGTGCGTTAGCTAAAAGCTGTGTCCTCCAGGCTCTGGCTGATGAGAACGAGTACGTGAGGGACACGGCGCTGCGAGCCGGCCAGAGGATCATCAGCATGTACGCCGAGACGGCCATCGCCCTGCTGCTGCCGGAGCTGGAGCAGGGCCTGTTTGACGACCTGTGGAGGATCAGGTCAGGGCCGGACGCAGCGCCGCCAGCCGTCTGTTCCGTAAACGCCGATGACTGACGCCTCTGCTGCTCCACAGGTTCAGCTCAGTCCAGCTGCTGGGAGACCTGCTGTTCCACATTTCTGGAGTAACGGGAAAGATGACCACGGAGACCGCGTCAGAGGACGACAACTTTGGCACCGCTGCATCAAACAAGGTTTGTAGACTTTCCCTCCTGGATCCGCGGCCGATTCCAGAGGTTTGGTGTCAGACGGCGCTGTTCTTCCTCCCGTTAGGCCATCATCTCTGCTCTGGGAGCGGAGCGGCGGAACCGGGTGCTCTCCGGCCTCTACATGGGCCGCTCTGACACCCAGCTGGTGGTGCGGCAGGCGTCGCTCCACGTGTGGAAGATCGTCGTTTCAAACACGCCCCGAACGCTGAGAGAGATCCTCCCCACGCTCTTCTCCCTCCTGCTGGGCTTCCTGGCCTCCACCTGCCCCGATAAGAGAACGGTACGGGTGCAGCGCTCCGTCTGGGTCGGGTCTGCACCCAGGGTGTGGTTAACTCTGCCGCTCTGCCCGTTCTTTAGATCGCCGCTCGGACGCTGGGCGATCTGGTGAGGAAGCTGGGCGAGAAGATCCTCCCGGAGATCATCCCCATCCTGGAGGACGGGCTGCGCTCCGACAAGAGTGACGAGCGGCAGGGCGTGTGCATCGGGCTCAGCGAGATCATGAAGTCCACCAGCAAAGACGCGGTACTTTAACGCTCGCCTGCAGAACGTCCTGGAGGCGTGGTTAGGCTCTGACGAGAACCTGATGTTGCTAACAGGTGCTGATCTTCTCCGAGTCGCTGGTCCCAACTGTGAGGAAGGCTCTGTGCGACCCGCTGGAGGAGGTCCGGGAGGCGGCGGCCAAAACCTTCGAGCAGCTCCACGCCACCATCGGCCACCAGGCGCTGGACGACATCCTGCCCACTCTGCTCAAACAGCTGGTGAGCAGCGGGGGAAGGAGGGGCGGGGATAAAAACCTGATGGACCTCCTCTAATCATTTTGGTCTTTCTCCAGGCGGATGAGGACACAGCGGAGTTTGCCCTGGATGGTCTGAAGCAGGTCATGGCTGTGAAGAGCCGTTCTGTGCTGCCATATCTGGTCCCAAAGGTAGAGGAGCCGTCATCCGTTCATCTGCTCTCTGACTCCAGGATTAACCCCTTAGGATTAAATTCCTCCTGAAATTACATCTGTAAATTAAAGCAAGTTCAGCTCCCAAACTATAAATTGAAAATACATTCGTTTGTATTTGTAACAGAAAAGCATTGAGGAATATCTTCCAGGTGGAACCATTATTCTAAATGTCAGCATGTCTGATTTATAGGTGGTTAAACAAAGAAAAAAATGAAAAATATTTAGTCTGGCCAGATTTTTTTTCTCCAAAATAAACTCTGCAAAACACCATGAAAGCCCATTTGAAACTGGATGAACCTCAGACTTTATAGATCCACATCTTGACTATAAGTCAAGCAAATCTGGACTGAATAAGTTAAAGCATGTTTGTTCCACAAAGGTTTTAGTGGCCAGTGAGCTAGGTGGAAATTTGATTTTTTTGCACAATGCCAAAATTGGCCAAATTATACAAAAAATGTATGTTTCCTCTCATAAAAGTGAATCTGGTCAGACTAATATGCTGATTTCCATTATTGGAGACCTTCAGCATGAGGCAAAGCCTTTGGTCCTAAGATTTAGTCGTTGGTTCATTGAAATTTACCAATAATATCAGCAAACTGAATAGAAAATAAGAATAACAGAGCAGCTTATGTAACGCATGCCGGAAATGGTCGCAAAATGACCTCTGACCCCTCCTTGGACAGGGTTCCCGCAGGTCCTTAAAAAGTCTTAAAAGGCTTTGAATTCTTCAAAATAAAACTACGGCCATAAATGGTTTTAAAAAGGCCTTAAACAGGCCTTCCTAAGTCTTTATTTTTAAAACCTCAAAAATAGGATTATT